CAACAAGAAATGTTGAATGGATTATTCATGGTAATAGTATAATTATTGATTTTCTATCAAAATTTCAAGAATAATAAATTTAAGTTAGACATTTGAAAGTTTCAGATTATTATTTTCACAACTTTGAATATTTATTACGAAAAGAGAACTGCTATAGTGGGAAGTTTATTTGGATAGAAGGCGGGGTATAAGAGAAGGGGGTTTGATTTCCTTGCTAATCTTTAAGACCAATTTGATGGACCTTCGCTCTTGCGTTTTAATTTTTATATACATATTTTTTAAATATTTATAGAGGTTCCGTATTCGAAGATGGCCTAAACCCTCAAAATCTAAAGGTGGACCCTGATTGTGTGTATCTTGTTTTTGGGGTTCCCAAAAATCATTTCATGTTTGGCACCCATTCTTTTTCTCATTCTCATTCTCTTTTTTCATTTCAACCACACAATCTTCAAATAAAATAATATTACACACAAATCTAAAACTTTTCATCACTTTTCCACCACACATTCTCCCATCAATCACTATTCCAAAATTTTTGAACTCATTAAAATGGGTGTCAAACACTCCCTGCTAACAAAAGCCAGCTTAGATTTGACTGACTGCACGCTGACATCTTTTCTTAGTTGTCATCTTTTGGTGGGATTAACCTATCAATTCCAGTCCAACACCTAAACGTGGTACTGTTCCATTTGGTTACCCCACATCCCAGAAGTCACTTCATAGAGAAGAAGATGAAGAAATTATTGAGGTTGAAAAGATACCACTTGCATAGAGCACAAGTACTTTGTTCTTCTTGGTGTGTAGTTTGATTAATCAAAAACACTTAATGTACAGTCAAAATTGTATAGCAATTAAAATTTTGACACTCCTCTCTCATGGGTAGGGCCCACGATTATTTTAATTGTGAACCCCACCAGATGTATATGAGAGGACTGTCAAAATTAATGTAACTCTAACATTGTTCTTTATTAATTGAGATATATGACAAGTTATACAGAGGCCGGAGATGGTCCAATGACGAGCTTGAACTTATTTAAGTACATATTTAGCAAATTTTATATAAATTCTATTTTTATTCACACATTTTGTTACACTTACAATTTTAATTATACATTCTTCAGATTCACAATTTATAAGAACTTAAAAATTTAGACATAAAATACCAAGTGAAGTTCGTCACAAAGTTGAAAAACGTGCCAAGCCTATGTCGCAACATGCCTCATGTCTAAGTGGTCCGATCTACTGTAACACCACAAAAAAGAAGTATGTGTATTCATAGATAGAGTTTTTTCACATGTAAATACACTTGTAGATTTCATTTCTTTGTTCGAGCTCCATTTTCTGAGATAATAAATTTTATAATAGTGATTTTTTGGAGAATATGAGATTAAAAAGTAGAAAAAGATTTTAAGTTTATGTATAAAATTATTTTATTGAGAAAATATGTTGAAAATGAGTTTAGAAAAATAAATAAAATTTTAAATAATGTAGCTCAAAAATAGACCTGACTTTTCCTACACTACTCTAAGAAAGTCTCAATTTGGCTTTAAAAAGCCATAGAAGAAATTCTATATAAATTATGAACATTAATTATAAGCAACCAATACTGTTCAATCTGAAGTCCAAAGTTTTACAAATGCTTTTCTCGTTTGTTATTTGTCTTTGTACAATAGTTTCTTGGATTCCATTACTTTCGATCTTCATTGAAAACATGTGATTGGTATTTACAAGATTATTAAATTTACTTACGAGAGATGCTACATGTACACTCTTCGTGTACAATATTGTTGACACTCCTCTTACAACATGAGTGGGTCCCGCCATAAATAAAATAATCGCGGGACCCACTATGTGAGAGGAATGTAAAAGTGAGTGTATACCAAGAGTGTACACTTATCATTTCTATTTACTTAATTGCGTTTTAAAATTTATAGGAAGTGAAGGGTTATCGCTAATGACTAAACAGTTGAATTGAAATACTACTTCGGTCCTATAAAAATGAGCTTTTTTCTATTTTCATATAGATTTAAAAAATGTATTTAATATAATTGAAAATATAGTTTTCTCTTACATTTTTTTTAATATACCCATATATTAAGATCTTGTTAGATGACCACTTTTTTTAGGAAAAACATTATTTTGAGTAGTGAAATTTTGGATAATGTGTGGTTAAAAAGTAGAATTTTTTTTGAGTTTATGTACAAAATATTTTATTGTGTGAATTTGAGGTTGAAAATGAGTATGTAAAATAAAGAGTTTTGAAAGAATGAGAGACAAATATGAGCTACATAATGGTTTAAATAAGGTAGTGTTTGAAATGTATTATTTTCTAAGGTAGTTGGAAAACTTTTTCCTTTTTCCAACAAAAGTAGTGTTTGATAGGTGAAATTTTCTAAGGAATTGGTTTTCTAATTTGCTTCTTCACGTGCCTCTTTTCTAGGAAATTATTGAATTTGTTTTCTGGCCTTTTTGGTGGTAAAAGATTTTCTAGCTTTTTTTTTTTTTTT